TGCAGCCCATTTACGTTATTGGTCCTACCGACCGCGCCAAAATATGTTAGGGCCAAGTAAAGCTGCATATACCACGACACTGTGTATTGTGCTTCCAGCGACCGACGACCAAGCACGGACACGGCGACCCGCCGACTGACCCAGTCCGGTCACGGTCGCGCCCTTATATAACCACGGCACAGAGCGCATGCGCGGTGACCGCGCGGCGGTCAGGCGGCTCGCCGGCCGGACGGCCGGGCCGCCGACCCATCCTGTTCCACGGCCCCACACGGCCGGTGCGCGGTCACAATATCCCAACAGTAGCAGCATGGTCGCAGCCTGCTGATAAATAAACGGGGGGGGGGGGGGCGAACAGAGCTCTGGGTGGTTCATTGTGCGGCCTCACATCAATGGTGTGACAACTGGTCCGAGTCACTACTCAAGCCACTCCTCAGGAGCACGCAGCCGCTCCCTATCCCCGAACAGTACGAGAGGACCGAGAGGACGCCGTTTCGGTGCACCAGATGAGGGCAGCCGGCGGGCAACTGGGGCCCCTCGCTCCAGTACGTGCACCGAATCGGCTCTATCCACTCCGCGGCGTGCCAGGAGTGCCCAGACAAGCGCGGTGCCCCACGGCGCTCTGCGCCGTGTGCCGAGAAGAGGTTGATGTGCCGGAGCACGTGCTGCTTCGTTGCCCGGCGGTCGCTGGCTCCCACTAGCCTCGAACACACCGCTCCGCCGATTTTTGTGGCTCCGGGACTTCCAGCTCCAGCCTTGTTTCACGGCACGACGCAACATTGCGCTACGCATATTGAGGTATGGTGTTGGGTTTCAGTGGAATTAACAACTTATTCGGACGGTCAAACAAGGGAGAGCGTTCAAGGTCCCGGAACGCTCTGTCTGGTTGTTATAGCCTTGATCGGGAGACGAGCACATGTGCTTTACATAAAAGTGGCTTAATTTTTGCACAAAAAAGGCACCTAATTTTTGGCGCAAATCATGCAGAAATTTCATCGCAACATCGCTTGCGCCGAATTTCGGCGCAAGAGGGTTTCACGGGCGTCCGGCGTAGCATATGGATGTTTTCCAGTCTGGGTCAACCAGTACCAGATTACCTTCCTCGTCAATCCTCCTTAACCCTCGCCCCGTTGGGGGGCCAATTTGCCCCCCCCGTGGTTTTTCCTGAATAGCGAGAAAACGGCGGCGTGCACCGCCGCCAAATTTTTAGTACCTTCCCGGGCATCAATTTGACACCTTCACACCAAATTTCAAGTCTTAGGTCACCTTAGGTCAGGAGTTACTGAGGTCAAACTGAGGTCATGTTCGAGCAAAAATGAGCAAAAAGCATGCAATCTTGAAACGCTCACCAAATCTACAGTTACCAAGCAATTTCAAAGTTCTTTATGTGGTCTAGTAGACAAAAAGCGGCGCTACAAAGCTGCTATGTCGGATTTTCAAAATTTTGGATTTTTTGACCCCAAAAAATTCAAAAAATCGATTTTTTTAAGTAAAACTAAAAAAATCCTAAAAAATTCCGAATTTCGAAAAAAAACAGAATATATGTGAATGTGATAGTCCCTACGCTCTTCTATATACATACCAAATTTCAGATCGATATCTCGTTTTTTGGCCAAGTTATAGCGAAAAGAAATGTTCAAAAATGATGACGTCAAATTTTTTAACTCAATTTTTAGCGATTCTAGACCACGTAGGGAAAAACAAAGACCACCATTGAACTCCCCGTGACGAGCGGCATCGAATCGATACCCATTTTATGCAAAAATATCAACTTTGAAATTTTACCTAATCTGACCTGACCATGACCTGACCTTGACCTGACCCTCACCAGAACATAATCTAAACTGACCCCAAAGGCTGCCTGACCCACAAAATCGTATTTGACATATAAAATGGACCATAATGCATGCATCACATGATATTTTCATATTGTGACCCTCAGTGACCTGACCTCTGTGACCTGACCTGGTATCAGTGACCTCAAATAGCAAAATATGTGTTTGAAGAACATTTCCTTATCGATGATTTTCAATGAAATGCATTTTACTCGATTTTACAACGCATTTCTTGAAATGCCTGTAAACGATGAAAATTCGACCTTTGACCTGACCTGTGACGTCATCGGTTTGACCTAGGTCAATAAAATTGGGTCACAAGGTAGTTCCCTGATAGGGCTATCCAACACCGTTTGCCGCTTGTCGCTAGGTTGCGTGGTTCTCGAGATCTTGGGGGGGGGCAAATTGTCCCCCCCCCCAACAGGGCGCGTTGCTTGGCAGAGCCCAACGGGGCACGGGTTAACCCGCGCCCCACTAGGGGTCCTGGATTTCCACACCCTGCTGGGGGGTTGACCCCCCCCCTCTAACTCTTCTCCTGGGCCACGTAGCGATACGCGGAAGGCGGCGTTCGAAAGAGCGCCAAAAATAATGACGAAATGACATCAGTCACTTTTTTGGTCAGGTCAAAGGTCATTGAATGTCACCAGAGGTCATTGAAGGCAAAATTCTGCCGATTTCCAGGTCGAATGTCGACAATTTCCAAGAACCCAACGCATAACTTGGGAACCAATAGAGATACAGCGCCGCGGAAAAGCGCATTCGATAGCCCTATTAACGCCCTTTCTGGGTAATTTTCTCAGATCTGACCTAGCGGCAACTGTTTTGCCTGCAGGGGGCAAAAACTGCCAAAATAGCCGATTTTTTTCGGAAACAAATTTTCTGCAATAACTTTTGACCCAAGCCTTGCACGAGGTTACTTTTTACCGGCATCGTGTTCCTGTCGTCAAGACGCATCGAATGAACTATAACTTGACCTTGAAAGGTCAACTTGAGAATTTGACCTCAGGTCAAGGTCATGACCTGACTGATAATGGTCATGTTGCATATCAGTCGATCCGTATAGTCGAGCTGAACACATCGAAGGTGTTTTCACCGCTCTAGCATGCCTCTATCAAAAGTTATTTGCGAAAAACTGTTAGATACCATTTGTGACCTGAGATGACCTCAGGGGCATAAACAGGGGTCACGGACACCATTTTCATGTTCAGTGTGTATAAGTTACTGGTAAATTAGTGTTAAGGAGTGTTTATGATGGCTTTCGTCCAATAGCAGCGCATTTCAGTTTTCTCCCATTGATTATAATGGGGAGGTCGCAAAATTGACCGGACGTTAGGTCATCGATATAGAAATTATGAGATAAACATTTTGTACATGCTATTGCTCTGAGCAATTGCTGAAAGTTTCAAAGCGATCGGTCACTCAGTGTAGCTATGCAGACATTGAAACTTTTTATGAGGTGAGGTCACTTCAAGTGACCTGGTGATCTGACCTTGAACGACCTTGGTCTGAAATTTTCACATGTGTAGAGCTGATTTATGATAAGGTAAACCATAATTTATGACAAGCAGTCGTTTTTGAGATATTTGCGAAAAACCACAGGGGGAGGTGTTCAAACATACACACACACACACACACCGCAGGGCGCGGATTAACCCGTGCCCTGGTTGACGGGGGCTCTTATTTTTAACTCCCCCCCCCCCCTCCAGTCTGTTCTCATTATCTCTAAAAGTAATTTGCAGATCGTCGCAAAACTTTCAGTACCCTCTCGTACATCACGTTTACACCTTTTGTCAATTTTCCCAGGGCCTATGATAGACTGGCCACAAATGATGTCAGAGTGACAGAGAGTGAAAAAGGTTTGCGGGAAGAGCTATCATGCCTACAGCCTATACTTAGAGAAAAATGTTCAAATTAAAAAAAAAAGATGTAAAATGAACAGGGCTACAAAACTTGTATCTTTGATTTTTTTTAATTTCTTGAGTTTGACCTCCAAAATTCAAAAAGCGATATTTTTTGGAGTAATATTCTGAAAATACCAAAAATTTCAAAATTCCAAGAAAGAAGATTGTATGTCATAGACCTATGAGTCTGCTATTAACATGCCAAATTTGAGCTTGATATCTCTATTTTTGGCAAAGGTATGGTGACAAAAATGCTAAAATTGATGATACCAAATATTTAACCTCATTTTTTAGCCATTTTCGACCACGTAGAATAAACGAAGACCACCATTGGTTTCCCAGTGATGAGCTGCATCAACTAGGTACCCTTTTATGCAAAATTATCAACTTTGCAATTTGACCTTTTTGACCTGCCCGTGACCTGATCTCCACCAGAACGTAGCCTAAACCGGCCCTGATGGTCGTCTAACCAACACCATAGAGTTGGAAATGATAAATTGGCCATAAAACATGCATCACACTGCCATAGTATAGTTGGGTTCATATTTTGACCCTTGGTGACCTGACCTCTGTTACTTGACCTGTTATCAGTGACCTCTTTTAGCAACATTTGTACTAGGCGACTGGCGCTCTATCGATGATTTTCGATGAAATGCGTTTTACTCAATGTTATAACGCATTCCCTAGAAGACCCATGAACAGTGCAACATTTTAGCTTTGACCTGACCTGTGATGTCATCGGTGACCCCGAGGTCAATGAAATCAATGATTGCATGGAAGTTTTAACAGGACTATCGAACGCCGTTCGAGTTTAACGAATCCGTCCTGTAGTTTCGGAGATACGGGGGGGGGGGGAATAGCCCCCCACGAGGTCGCGTTATAATCAGACCCCACCAGCGCGCGTGTTAATGTCAGCCTTGTCATAGGTACTAGTTATTGAACTTAAATTATTCGTGTCCCGATTTAGTCTTGAGTTAATTCTTCACCCAGGGTCAGGGTAGCATCTCATGATAACCTGGTAGTTGAGACGCACTTACTAACCAAACTACCTAGTTACCTACTTCAAATTTTCAAGGATATTGCTATCTTGAAAAAAATCATATTAAGCATTTTGTAAGTTTTGCTGTTTTTTTCATTGATTTTGCTAGCTGTGTAGATTGTATTCATAGATAAATTTTAAAGTAGCTAGTGTCTTACCATGGTTTGTTAAGCATATTGCCTACTTATGGCCCTTTGGCTGATTTCTTCTGATTTCATCTGCCCTCAGCCATCTGGTTGAAACGCCTGGTAGTGTGTCGCCCATCGTTGGCTGCAAGTTACAAGTGATCCACTGAGGAACTGCCACCTCTGGAATGGCTGAATCCACCAACCCGCTGCTTGTGAAGCAGCTGACTGCGGCCGACTTCAACCCGGCACGTTTTGTGCAGGACGCCACCGAGCAGTGTGTGGGTGGCCTGGAGCTGCGCCAGCACCGTCAGCAGATCCAGCTGATCGCAGACAGCACCAGCAACGAGCTCAAAAAGAATGTCTACCGCAACTACCAGCAGTTCATCCACACGGCCAAGGAGATCCAGTACCTGGAGGGTGAGATGTACCAGCTGTCCCACCAGCTGACCGAGCAGCGCTCGCTGCTCTCCTCTCTGTGCGGCCCGCCGCCGGCCACCGCGCTGCAGTCGCCGCCGACAGAGGAGCCGCCGCCGCCGCCGACCACGCCGCGCCCGGCCGCGCCCGACGACCTCGAGGAGCGCCGCCGCCAGCTGCTGCAGCTCATGGAGCGCGTCGAGGGCGCGGCGCACATCCGCGAGGTGCCCAGCCGCTACCAGCTGTACGAGAGCGACCTCGTCGAGCTGGACCAGGACACGCACACGGCGCTGCAGCGCGTGCACGGCTACCTGTTCAACGACGCGCTCATGATGGCCGTCTGGCTGCCGGACCGGCGCGGCCGCGTCCGCTACAAGTTCGAGGCGCTGTTTGCGCTCGACAGCGTGGCTGTGGTGAACATGCGTGACGTGGGCAGTCTGAAGAACGCCTTCAAGCTACTCATGTTCCCTGAGACCCGTGTTTTCCAGTGTGCCACGCAAAAGATCAAGGAGGAGTGGCTGGAGATTGTCGACCGCACCAAACGCTCCAAGATGGACGCGGAGAGGAAGCAGCAGTCGGCGCGGCAGAAGCGCGGCGGCGGCGTGGCGGTGGCGGCGGCTCCGGCCGAGTCGGAGTCGGCGGCCGAGTCGGCGCCCGCCGAGCCGCCGGTGGGAGCCGCTGCAATCCCCGAGCCGCTGTTCATCGCCGAGTGGTTGCTGGAAGCGCCCGAGGACCTGGACGTGTTCCTGGCGCAGCGCGAGTTCGAGGCGGCGCTGGCGCTGCTGGGCCGCGCGCGCGAGGCCGCCGCGCCGCTGCCGGACTCGGAGGCGCGCGTGCAGCAGCTGCGCTCGCAGCTGGCCGGCCGCCGGCAGCATCTGACCGAGGCTCTGATGGCCGAGCTGCGAGTGGAGGCCGGCCGCAGTCTGCAGGGCGGGCCGCGCGCCACCCGCCGCGCCCTCCAGCTGCTCATCCGGCTCGGACACGCCGGCCAGGCGTGCCGCCTGTTCCTGGAGCGGCGCTCGGCGCTGCTGCGGCACGAGCTGAAGCAGGTGAAGATCTCGATGATGACGCAGCTGTTCGTGCACCGACTGTCGGCAGTGGTGTTCACCAGCCTGGCCGACACAACGCGCGAGTTTCAGCGGGCGTTCGCGGCGCACCCCAACTGCGCGTCGGCGCTGGTGGTGTGGGCGCGTCAGGAGCTCACTAACTTCATGGGCACGTTCAACAAGCAGGTGTTCACGGCCAAGGTGTCGCTGGCCACGCTGGCCGAGTGTGTGACGGCGATCCGCTCGCAGGCCGACCGGCTGCGAGAGGCCGGCCTGGATGTGCGTCAGGAGCTGGATACGGCGCTACTGCGGCCCGTGGAGCGAGCCGTCACGGACGCCCGCCAGAAGCAGCTGGAGGCGGTGCGACTGCGCGCTGCCGAGGACCGCTGGCGGCCCACCAACCTGCAGCACGCGGCCGGCGTGGCGCGCTTCCAGGCCGAGATGCGCGAGCTGGGCCTGCCGGCGGCCGAGCAGCTGCCGGACGAGTCGTGCCGCGTGCCGCTGACGGCCAACACGCTGCAGTTCTGCCGCTCGTTCCTGTCGCTGGCCACCGAGCTGGGCCGGCTCAGCGGCGGCGACCTGACGCCGACCGTGGAGGACGCGCTGGCGGCCGTGCTGCTGGCGCAGCTGCAGCACGCGCAGCAGGCCCTGCAGCAGGAGCGCTACCGCTCCGAGCGCGCCACCGTGCTCACTAACGGCCGCTTCCTGCTGGACGAGCTGCTGCGCGCCGCCGAGCAGCGCTACCGAGACGCCACCGGCCGGCCCTGCCCGCCCATGGCCTCGCTACGCACCGAGCGCAGCAAGTTTCCCGACCTGTGAGCGGTGGGTACCGGACCACGGGTGAGTGTACTGGCTGAGAGGTGGCCACGGGGCCCGCTCGGTGTCCTGACCAGACTCGTGTGTGTCAGTGTGTGGTGAACTGCTTTAGGGGTCGGCTCTCCCAGACCGCCTTTTGAACGAATCTAGCTGGATCGAGTCTACCAGTGGTTAGTTTGTTCATTGCGGGATACACTTCCTACTTCGAGTCCGGAGTCGTCTCAGCATTTTGGTTATATCACGCTATAACTGCCTATATCTACGTAGTCAAGCTATGTATCTCCCGTTTACATCTGCTAAGAAATCCTGCCTGCTATCTGAGCCCCGGTCCAAGCTCGGGTGTTTTTCGGCCCGAGGAGGTCCCGGGGGCGAGCGCGCGCGACGTGTGTTGGTTGCACGGCGTGTTTGCACCGTGTCGGGACGGGAAGCGTGCCTCTGGACTGGTCGGCCGCGCCTCGTCCGGTCAAGGTTATCGCTCCAGGTCGATACGGGGCCGGCCGGGGTGCGTGTCCTCCGCTCAGAGGCGGTAGATAGGCCGCGGGGCTGGCAGCGGATGGCTGAGAGTCTGTAACTGACGGCAGGGCTGTGTCCGCCCCCGGTGCTGACTGCGGGTCATGTCAGTCACCTCCGAGTCTCACAGCGGGCCGAGAGTGTCCTGTGGGGCTGATTGTATCGCGTTGTTACAATTTGTCGATGCCAATGACCGGCCTGGGAGGGGGAGCTGTGCGAATGTCGAACCATCGCCCAGACAGACGTTAAGTAATGCATAATTTATTATTCATGGTATTATACCACTGGTGGCATCGGTATATGTTGACGGAGCTAGTTAGTTTGCATTTAAGCGTTGCTGTCAGTGCCCAGTGGCTCGTTCCGTTTAAACCATCTATTGTCATTGCTACTGAAGTACTGAGGGTTGCATTGTGAGATTAGTTGACCGAGGCACGGCATGCCTGTTGATATACAGATAATACCTTCGGCCCCGATATCTACTTTCGCTGTAGTCGCATTGTTATTTGTATGCATTGTTATTTTTGCTTGTTAACGTAAATATTTTGAGGTATGCATTTCATGCGTATAGATATGGTTTGTGATTATGAGCAATACAGTCGACGTCCGCTTGAGCGTGGTTTTGTAGGGATACGATCCAACTGCCTCTGACGGTGAAGGTTCTTATCTGTCATCACACAATAGTTAGTGTTCATAACCACAGCCAGTACCATTTGCCAGCCAGAGATCCGATGTAGACAGCTATTGTAAAAAGGTGCTTTTTCTGACGGCACGTGCGAATAGGGGACCTAATGATCGCTAAGCACGTCACCGCAGAGTAATGTGCGCACTGTCCAGTTTTTGTAGGCAGGCTCTGCTGACGTGTGCGGCTCTCGGTGCTGTGAGCGGTGTGCAGTGGCGCCCTCTGCACTGCCTCGTCGCCTCGGCCTTCGCAACCCGTCCGCCTTTGAAGCACAAGTGAACTGAGGACCACTTGGACAATTTAGGAAATAACGCAGTGCCAGGCCATGGAAGGTGGTTATGGCGTGTCTGTTCCTCGGACATTCCTTTGTTTGTTTTATTTATTCAAATGGCTTTACGACAAATGGTATTACGAGAACAAAACGTACTGTTCTGTTTGATATGCTGGATGCTCAAATGAATAGTTAAACCCTCGCTCGCACGCATATTATGGAACCATCCTATGTAAAACGCACATGAGATCGCCCCTTTCCCTTCCCGTTCGGCTGCTACTGGGACAGAACTTTTCAGGTTCAGGGACACGTATTGCATTACACACATAGAAACATTTGTTTGCCCACGGCGTGTTTCAATGTATCAAGTAAAACTTTGGCGTTTTTAGACCAAGTTTCTACTGTGCCAGCTGCAGATGATTTAGATGGGCCAACACCCGGATATGTGACGGGCGTCTCAGGATTTTCTCCAGCCTGGATAGAAGAAAAAACTTTATTTTAAAAAATTCATTGGATGGTAGGCTTGCAACTAGCAGCGGCAGCGGCAATTGAAGCTTCTGAAATATGCGCGCCAGCCCTGCGACAAGGCATCACCCAGTGTTTGCCCTTCATGCACCTAGATGGCAGTAGTAGTCGGCGCCTGAAATTACACTGTGCCGCAAGTCATCACTGCGGTACAGTATCACTCTGTGCTTGACCTTCCCGCACCTAGATGGCAGTAGTCGTCGGCGCCTGAAGCTATACTGTGCCGCAGGGAAAAGTTTATGTTTATCCTTCCTGCACCTAGATGGCAGTAGTCGTCGGCGCCTGAAGTTATACTGTGCGGTGTGCCCATAGGCGTCGCCAGACATTTTCGGTTGGGGGGCAAAATCAAGTTTTGTGTTAAATCTTGCCTTTCCCCAGCCGTTACTCACTCGTTTTACATATCATTCGACGCGCAATGGTGCGAGGAATCCGATGGTGACAAAGTTTTCCTTCTAGCTATAGCATGCATTTTTTTACAAAAAAAAAATCAACATTTTGAAATTTCTGGACAAAAACGACCGTTAGAATTACAGTGGCTGCGATTGCCGACGCACTGCAGAGGGCCCCTGTGCAGACTCTCGTCGCTCATGATCATTACCCAGAAGAAGGTGAAAAACGCTCCATTTGAATCGGATCACCTCGCTAAAACCTCCATTCACGCATGCATGCCGAGGTTTTACGTGAAATGCATAGGGCTTATCCCAGCCGCCGATTGTAGCTAAGAATTGGGCATTCGACGGAGACTGAGAGAGAATGTCGGAAGTGTGAATCGGAAGTACATCATTCATCCTTGCTGTAGTGAGAAGAAGTGTTTTGTTCACTCGAGTGTGAACAAAAAGTTTCTGGTTTTTCGAGTGAAGGGAAGCGCTGCAAACGCGACCAAAAATATTTAACGGAACCAAAAGTTACGCACGGCATAGCGGCAAGGGATCCCTTGGCCGCCCCACACCGGACCTCGCATGCCGGTTGCGGGTTTTTGGGTTTTCGGGTTTCTTCAAAATTAAATAATACAATCTATGCTGAGTGACCCATACTACCATGTATCAAGCGAGTCTGCATGCTTTTAGCTTGCTAGCGACCTTGCATCGCATTCCAGAAGTTGATTTTGAGTGGCATCTTTCGATTTTCCTCGCTGCGAGGTCTGCGAGTTCTGCGAGGTTTGCGGGTTTTTCGTTGGGGTCGAATTTTGGTTCGTTGCGTTGGTATTGCGACTATATGTATATGTTACGGGTCATATGCTAACTTGGGCAGTATGCAAACTACCCGGGCAGTATGCAAACTACCCAACAGCCCGGGCAGTATGCATACCGCCCGGGTAGTATGCATACTACCCGACCCCTTGGGCAGTATGCATACCGCCCAAAAGCTCGGGCAGTTTGCATACTGCCCGCTTCTTGTCTTGAAGTTGTGTATTCCATGTCCATTTTAAAAAGCATTAATGGCTCTATTAGTATTGGCCGGTCCTGTAGCTCAGTCGGTAGAGCGTTGGACTCCGCGTGGTGAGAGCACGCGTTCCCGGTTATAACACTTAACAGTCCGGGTTTGAAGCGTGAGGCGGGCGATTGACGTTTAATGAGCCTCCTTACAGGTATGATTGCGGTTTGTGGCAGGCCGTAGCCAAGCGAAGTCAGTGAGAGGACCGGCCGTGCGCGGCTCTGTGCGCACTTTAAACTTTGGACTCCAAATTCTGCCATAGAACCAGCATTGCGCGATCGGAGGGTAAACGGCAGGGTTACCGCAACAAGCTTCGCTTAGCGGGGGCTCTGCGCTTAGCGGTGAATCCTTCTATTCAAAGGATAAAAGGTTCGGACTAAATTCTAAAAAGTAACGTTGTTCAATCGCGAAGTCTTTTTTGCCGTCAAACGTGATTTATCGATCGAAGGGTGAAATGATGTTTTACTTGGACCTGTAGAGGGCGTTATTATAGTTTCAATAGCTAATGTTGCATGAAACCATTTGCATGTAAGACGTTACAAGTTGTTATGGTCGGGTTACCAGGTAGGTTAAGCGACCTTACCCCAGAAAAAGTTAGAATGCTCGCCATTGCTACACGGACCGAACGATCGCTTTGAAACTTAAAGCGATTAATAAGAGTAACGTTAGGTTCAAAGTGCACGTATTTGAATTTTGATACCTATCATACCAATGACTTAAGGTCAAGTCAATTTTGCACAGTCTCCCTAAGAAGTTGACAGGAGAAACTTCAAGGACGCCTGTTCTTTGTTCCATTATTTTTTATGGAGACGTGTTGGAGCGATGGTCACGGAAACAACCTTAGATGTGTTCAGTTCGACGATAAGGAGCGGCTGATAAACAGCATGACCTTTTCATGTCAGGTCATGACCTTGACCTCAGGTCAAATTTTGAACTTCGATCAGCTTCGGGTATTTATTCCAGAAAGCGCTAAAAGAGCTATCGAATGCGTCTTTCTGCGGCGCTGTAGCTCTACTATCTTCCGAGTTATGGGCGAATTTATAAAAAAAATGAAAAGACGAACTTTGATCTTTGATAGCCTCTGTTGCCTTTTTCTTTGACCTGACCTTAAAAATGACTAGGGCACTTTCGTCATGATCTTTGACGCTATTTCGAATGCCGGTTACCGCATCTTACATGCCGCTTACTTCTGTTCCGCTAAGTGGCACGGGAGTCGAACAGGGTGTTCACCCCCCCCCCCCAGCCCGGCACGACTGGCGCCGAGCACCGCCCCGGCGCGGGTTAAAGCGTCTGTCATTGACATGTATATGTGAGCTATTGCATTAAGTGGTCTCACGGGCCACGGTCAGCATATTGCCCGAGTAAACATCTTGCCCGTGAGAGAAAAGGTGGGTAGTATGCATACTACCCGGGCAGTATGCAAACTGCCCGGGCGGTATGCATACTGCCCAAGGGGTCGGGTAGTATGCATACTACCCGGGCGGTATGCATACTGCCCGGGCTGTTGGGTAGTTTGCATACTGCCCGGGTAGTTTGCATACTGCCCAAGTTAGCATATGACCCGTAACATATATAAGTTTCTGAAGGTGAACCGGCTTCACTCCATTCATGAAGTTACCATAAGGGAACGGTCTAATCTTTCTATGAATTAGTATTATGCCCACAAACTGAAAACCCGCAAACCCGCAACCCGCATGCGAGTTCCAGTGTGGGGCGGCCTTTAGAGATAGGATTGCGACTCCCAGGCCATTTCAGGCCACTCAGGGTCAGTGTGGACTCTCAGAAGCCTGCTTAGGATCCCGGAGATCGGCGTGGGTCACCCCAAATATTTACGTGTATGTGGTGCTTTAGGGCTTTCCGAGCCTAAGGTGGGCCCGGAAAGCCCTTTAGGGCACACGAGCTTTCAGAAGCCAGTGTGGGCGGCGGGCGCTAAGAGACTAGGCCCAGGGTGAGCCTGGAGCCCTCGAATAACAGTGTGAACCGTCGGGGTCTGTGTCGAATCCTTAAGGACCCGTTGGTAGGGACATAAGAAACATGTGTTGCGGCCCTCAGAGGGACACGTGAGTTGTGACGCCTCAGATGCCGGGTTGGGGTTAATAAAGTATGTCGCCTCAAAAGTTCGGCTGAACTATCATAGGCCAGTTGAGGTTTTCAGAAATTTTCGAAGGCATCCTCAAAGATTCGTGTGGCCCTTCAGAGGTCTCCGTATGTATAATGTCCTCAAAGATCCCTGTATGGGCCCTCTAGAGAACATGGACACCAGTGGGACTCTCAGAGGCCGGTTTGGGCCCTCCGAAAGCTTCTTAGAGCTCAGTGGAGCTCCTTAGGAGCCTGTGTGAAAAGCAGGCTCATGAGCCCTGCGGCACTTGAACGGTACTTGCGCCTGTCGCAGACATTTGACGAGAGTTGAGAAAGGCCCCGAAGATTTCGTGTCACGCTTTGAACGAAAATTATGTGTCAGCACTCCAAAATTTATGAAAATCAGCTACAAAATGTAATAAAGAACCAACTAGGAACATGGCATGAATCATGGCATTGACATTTCCGAGTCTGGAGTCGGAGTCTTGAAGATTTTGGCGACTGCGACTCTGACTTTGGTTTGAACTGCACGCTCCAACAGAGTCTGACCTCACAGGCATTCTCAGAAAGGTACCCCCATTTTTCCCCGACTCCAAAATCTCATCGGATCTGTATCGATCTCAGGGGGTGCCCGGTCCGAGGTTGGGGGGCAAGCTGCCCCGCTTGCCCCCCCCCCCCCGTGGCGACGCTAATCTGTGCCGCAGGGATTATTTCGCGTTTGCATTTCCTGCACATAGATGGCAGCAGTAGTCGCCGCCTGAAGTTATGCTGTGCCGCAGAGTTCCTGTGGCACATTATCATCCAGCGTTTGCCATTCGTGCACCTAGATGGCAGTAGTGATGAGCGCCTGAAGTTATGCTGTGCCGCAAACCATCCGCGTTGAGAGCTGTGCCGCAAACCATCCACGCGCAGTGCCATCCTAGTGATCCAGGTCCCCGTGTTTGTCCTACCTCCGTCCTCCGTGTTTGAGTCAACAATTCATAAGTGGAAAGCGGTTTCTAGTTATTGAACATGCATCCTATCTATCATACTCGTGCCTTACGTCTGATTCCATGCCTCGTATTTCTGCTGTATTGACTTTGATAGACATCATATCCGACACCTCAATGATACCTGTGTCAACGAATAATCGTCGTTGATGCGATCCATGGCGTATAATTTTCCACTTTATACCCGTCATAGTCTACAGACGAAGGTCTGGCACCACATTTACCCTGTCACGGGCCCCGGTATTACTCGTCAAGTGTTTTACCAAACCCCGGTATCACTTCACTTACTCTTATCAACAAGAAACGGATGGCGAGAGGAATCCGTAGCAGGAGCGCGGAGGCAGTCGTTGGAGCACCTACCACGCCCATGTCAGCCGCTCCGGCCTCCGATCCAGTCACGTTCAGCGTCTCGAACGTCCGTCAACGTTCAACAGCTCAACAGCTTCGCTCCGCTGTGCGCTGACGGCCAAGGCAGCCACCGGCCGGTGGTTTTTGTGTATAAAAACGAAACTTTCTGGATATGTTGCCGTGACTAGGCTGCACTAGTTGGGCGAGATAAAACTATTTAGTATAAGAAAATTAAAGGCATAGACCATTTACAGCCAACAGCAATTGAGAAACACAATTTTATTTAGATGTCAACAGCAAAGTAACAGCAAATATATTATTATCGAACAACAAACGCATTGGCTATCATCTCACTACAAAATAGAATCTGTATTTACTCGCACCCTCTATCACACCCGCAGCTACGCACCAGCAGTCGCCCTTCAACACACGCATGAACAGACAGCCAACGCTTGGGCTGGACAAACGGGGAATATATATGTAGGTAGGTACATACAGGGTGGGGCAGCATAATCGGGAATGCTTTTTGGGCTCTGATCATGAGTAGGCATGGCATGATTTTTATAAATTATATTATGGCAATGAAACGCCCAAAAGTTGTGCATCATCTGACATGACTACATCCATGAGCATGCAACTTCCTGGAAAAGAGCAGCAAAATAGTTCGACGGTGCTCCAAGTGCTTTGCGCGCGCCCATAGACACTAATGTTAAACAAGTAAAACAAGAACATTTTGTTTAAAACCCTGCAATTCCACGTAAAGGTTGCTGGGCAGGTCAACGTGTTATCACGGACGATAAGGATTGTGTGGGGATACTTAGGACAACAGGTTAACGTAATCGTCGTAAAATAACTCTTAGCAGAGGACATACAAGATGACTCACTTGAATATAAGGAAGAAGCACTTGAGCATATTAAAAAGAAACAATGTTCAAAACTTCAGCGACAAAAAATCTTATCACCGACTGGAATACGATAAAAAAGAATGGCATGCCATATAGGGGATTGTATCGAGAATATTCCAGCGGTCATGCAAAGTAAACATCCTGTTGGGATGATGGACCTATGGGTGGTCTTCAAGGGAGGTGCACGTGGTGCACCCTACTTCATCGAGCCCGGATAAAATGAGCACCTCTGGTAAATACAACCGCACTCTGGCAGACTCACGTGGAGCCGTCGGAAGAGAGGATCACTGACGGTCCAAATCACGTCTTACGAGGACTCTGTCCGTGCTGGTACTGCAGTGAGGACGACATGTTATTGTGTAGGGCACCTCCACCTGAGATGAACCAAAAACTTCTGGTCCTTCAACTCCGCCGATTTAAATCCGACCAAATTCTTTACATGGAGCGTTTTTTTGGTAGAAGTTTAATGAACAACTTATCATCAGTAAAAACAGTCTTCAGTGCAAGGTACGAAGCTGATGGGCGATCATGGACAAGCAGGAGGTTGCACGTGCATGCGCGTGCTTTTGGACCCGCCTTGAGAAGGTCATCGACGCCGAGGGCGGTCAAATAGGATGAGGGATAGGTAAAAGGTGACCGATTGATAGGATGTTGCTAAAATAGTGCTTGGAGCTATATTTTTAGATTCATGACCAAATAATCCCGTTTGATATTTATTCCCGATTATGCTGCCCCACCCTGTACGTCTCACGGCGCAGACGGCGTCCAAGCGCAGTGCTGTGTCTAAGCCGCGCGCGCAGTGAGTGTGAGCTCGAGCAAAAGGACGACATCCGATCCACTGGAAAATAGCTACTCTCGAAACGAAGGCTCTGTGTCATTTAAATATGTCATAGCTACTTAGATATTAGATAATGCTATCCCCTAGAGACTTGAGTATTTCAACATGAGCATCATCAACATTTATATGTAATAAGTAGAAATTGACATCAATTTGTCTACTGTTGTGCGTAGCATCACAAGTTTTTAGATAATATAAAATGCGAGCAGAGAGCGCTGCACTTGATGTCGAAATAATGTGAGGTAAAGAATCAAGAAGTAACTTAACAACCGGTTTCTTGCTGCTAAAAACATCATACATTTAAATAAGCAAAGTTAAAATGATGAATGTCAAAATAGCTAATGAAATAACGCAAAAAAACAATAGCTGTAGCAGTAGCTAAACGCAGCACGATATGCACGAATGATAGGTAACGCTTGAATAAATAAAATAAAACGATGATCAGTACAAATAATCGAGCCTGCCATCGCAAAAACACAAATGACCACCGTACCATTATAAGTACAAATTTAGATCCAGGTGACGGATTAGGTCGTGGACGACAGACGCCACCGACAGAGGTGGGCGGCACAGACGACCGACGAAGCCGCTCCACGTGCCAGCACGCGGCGGCACGTGCCCGCACGAATCGGCACGCGCTGCAAAGTGAGTAACGCACGACAACACTGAGAGAAAGCCTAGCTCTAGTGTGACTGACCGACTGACTGACCGACGGACCAACTCGAGTCTACCTAGTGAACGCTAGTTCGAAGGAAAGCTCTCTCAGATACGTACAGCGCCGCGGTCGCGTTGTTGTCGATTTTCAGTGAAGAATTGCGACCGCGCGTTTCCAATATCGGCAGACAACATGAACAAATGTCGCTCGGTGGTGAGTTGGCGTCTCGCCGTCGCGTCCATACCCGCTGACCTGACCTGACCTCGCCGGCGCGCCCCTCTGAAGTGTGAGCGGGGAGTGCTGAAGCTGTAAGACCGACTGCTCGTCAGGTCACCTTGCTGTTCGCGCCTGCACGGCGAGGGACGGGCCGGGCGAGAGGCGGCGGCCGGCCGGGAGACCTGGGACGGAATCGCTGGCGGAACGGCCCTGTTCGGAGCCTGCAGCGCTGCTCCAGCCAACAGAATGGTCAGCCAGAGCCGACAGAGGAGGCAGACCGCTCTCCCCGACCCGAGCTGCGGAGGAACTGCAGAGGAATGGGTGACGCTCGATAACTGAAACAGCCCGAGCTCGGCTGTCAGCAGGCCAACATACCCCGAGAGGCGCTACTCCGTCCAAACACCCACCGTGTGTAGGTGCTTGCACCGCTGTCCACCGCGAGCAGTAGCAGCTGCCGTGGCTGTGACAGCGCGCAGCGCGACGAGTGTGGCCGAAGATACCCGTCGGTAGGACAGCACGGTGCGCAGCGAGCGTGGCGGATTGTCTCACCGAGCGGCGCGTCCAGGACCGGTGTGGAGGGTGAAGCAGCAGACAGAGCAGACCCGAGGAGTCAGCGCCAATACACAGCTGACAGACTTGCGGACCGAGCCCGTCGAGAGCCCCACATACAGAGCTCAGTGACCGACCAGTACGGACCATAGATCGGCGACCAGAGAGCAGTAACCAGAGTCCAGTACCCAAAGAGTGCCGTCAATAGACCAGCAACCATAGACCAGTAGACTCGTGTTCCAGTAACCTTATCCTGACGCAGAATCTGGTCACCACTGGGCACAGATCATCACCAGTAAGCGTCCACTCGTGTGCCGCGCACCAGCCCGCACCAGCAATCACCAGCCCACACTAGCCCGCACCAACCGCCGCCCTTCAGAGCCGTCGGATCCGGTATCAGCCGTCCGTGGTTACACGTTACAGTCATTGGCGGGCGATCCAATCCACCGACACACACAGTTACAGCTCCTCAATCGGTAGGTAGGTATATGTATATCACGCGCGACGGGTCCGGGACAGTCACAGACACCTGACTCGCCCCCACTACAGCTATAGGTATCATCACAGTGCAACGTCCCACAGACAGGCCAGCGGCGCTGCCGGCCACCTCAGCCGAGGGCGCTGCCTCGCTGGTGGCCACAAACGTGCTCAGCCGTCTTCCCATCCACTTACATACAGACAAACTCTCACTGTTTCACCCTGTATGCGCCTGTCTATACTGCCCGCCTAAAGCTGCGTTCATATCGCTCAGAAATGTCGTCATCAAAAGTCAGTACAAGCACACCGATGCTCCTCAAGTATGCTTAGACATTAGACACATGGCACAATTGGTTACTGAGTCAGACAACCGACGTAAATCCACCGAACACTCTGCGGTGATAAATGCACCGACGCCGCAAACAACTGAATCTTCCCGGCCTGTTTTCTGAGAATCCCAGATTGTGGCCAACCACCGGAAAACGAACGGTCGTATCGGCCGACCCCAATCCGCCGGGATCAGCGGCGGTGGCCGAGGACCAGACGCCGCCACCCGTCGCCGGTCAGAGGTATTTTGGACGGCACAGCTCCACCTGAGCGACCCACGGCCGGCTGGTGTTTGTCAGTTGTCTGTCAGAGGTACCGTTACCCGTGACCGGTCATCTCGGACCCAGACAGGTGCGGATTAGCAGCGGATGACTGACAGCACCGGGCTCCCTACCTACCGCACGGCGCCGTCCTATCTCAACCATCAATCGGACTGTGCAGGTGCCACCGAACGAATCGACGATAATCACTGACCCACCGTAAAAAAAGAGTCGGAAAACACACCGGAGGAGAGGAGACAGACCATTTGGAATATTTTATGTCGCGGGCATTGAAAACTGAAAAGCTACTTCCCGCCGGCCGCCGTCCGTCGCCGACCCGTCACCGGTCTCTACATATCCTCGCCCTCAGCATCCGCAGCTCCCCGGCCCGGCCGAGCCGCTCCGGACAGCGGCGGTCGTCCGGCTCCGGCTCCGGACCGGCCGTGTCGCCCCGAGACCGGCTCCATATCGACTCGCTCCGCCGGGCCGGCCACCGACCGCGGCCGCGGTGCTCGACACTCGGCGCCGCTCAGAAGGCGCCCGTCGTCATGGCAACGGGCACAACACAGCGGCGCTGGCTGGCTCCGGCTACCTTCCGGGGCCACTCGAGGGCTCAGCGGCCGTGAGCTCAGGCGGTAGAGTGAGCCGCCACGCCACTCGGCATGGCAATCCCTCTGCTAACCTGCCGGTAACTCACTTACCCGGGGGCCTACCGGGATATTACAGCAGGCTGGCTAACCAAGCGTTACTTTTGCCTCAGAAAAAAAAAAACAGTGACGGCGGCGGAATGGCGACGCTAATGCGGAGATGCGGTATCAGTGGAAATATTTTTCTGACATTAAGCCTTCAGCAGAATGTGCATGTAATGATCAGGGGATACGATGGATCTGACGGGCTGACGGCGCAGCGGCCGGTGGCGAGGCGAGGGAGCCCGGCGGCAGCTGCTCGGAAAACTGACCTCTTGGAACCGCGTCTGCACCACTCGCAACCGCTGACGTCCCGGCGCTGGCTAGGGGCGGCTGCACAGAGTAGACTGGCGATCACCGGCACCAGTCTGTCACCAGTGGACTGGAGACACTGGCGGCACCAGCACACAATCACCAATAATTCAAACACAACGAGCTTGCGCCCGGTCAAGGACATCCAATAAATAAAGCCGTGATCAGCCGTGACCTGAGCACAGTGCTCCGTAGGATCTTGACTCCAGCATTATAGAGCTGGCCTCCTGCAGGTAGCCGATGAACACTGCCCGGTCCTGCCCTGACAGGCCCGGTCGGAGCGAGCCGGGCCCGGCCGCAGAGCCGAGGAAACACTCCCTCCGCTGACACAGAGCCGAGGACAGAAGGTCGGGCACTGACCCGCAGTCCCGACCGGCGGCGGCAGAGGTCCGCGGACCCAGCGCCGATACCTGCACAGGCGGCGTCCCCACTACAACCAGTCACACTTGATGGTCTTGAACTCGAGGTTCAGCGCCACCGCCAGGAAAATGAAGTAGAGCACAAACATTGCCATGCCCAGGCCCTTGTTCATGCGCCAGCGGAAGCAGGCGATGCTGATGATGACGAACATGAGCATGAGGAAGAGGCAGAGAATGTTGCAGGCCATGCCCTCCGACTTCACCTCGGCCGGCATCAGGTTGATGGGCTCGTTACGCGCCAGCTGGCCGATGGTCTTGGCCAGGGCGTCCAGCAGCCACGGCACGGGCAGCCTGCGGCAGAGAACACAACGCAGGTCAGCGTAGTTCTAAAACGCCGATCAGCGGTTTGAGCGGGTTTGAACGGGAAAGTCAGGTCGTCACATCGGATCGGCTTACACAGAAAAGTACCGACGGACCAAGTCAACATGAGCCTCTGGGAAAATCGATACAGATGGATAAACTTATGGCCAGCTTTAGTCCATAAACGTCATTTACCGGCGGGCCTGTCACCAGCTTCCAACATACGGACTGATAAACCAATAATCAATTCGAGTCAGCTTCCGGTGACTTGACGTCCATTCACAGAACAGCCCCTGACATCACACGTCCAGTCCACTGAGCGTGAAACGATAAGGGCCGGCGCCCGATACATTAGCAGCAACAGCTACATGTTCTATTTCGGAAGCAGGGACGGTCAGCATCTCACCCGACGCAGACGTCGAAGATGTTGCTGCCCACTGAAGAGGACACGGCCATGTCGCCGAACCCCTTCCTGGCCACGATGACACTGGTGATGAGGTCCGGAACCGATGTGCCCGCTGCCAGGATGGTCAGCCCCACCACCTGTGGGCAGAGGTCAGGTCAGATCACAGGTCAGGTCAGGTCAGGTCGGGTCTGGTCAGGTCAGGCCATTGACCGAGGTGCCCGCCGCCAGGATGGTCAGGTCCACTACCTGTGGGCAGAGGTCGGGTCTGGTGAGGTCAGGTCACATCAGGTCAGGTCAGGCCATTGACCGAGGTGCCCGCCGCCAGGATGGTCAGGTCCACTACCTGTGGGCAGAGGTCGGGTCTGGTGAGGTCAGGTCACATCAGGTCAGGTCAGGCCATTGACCGAGGTGCCCGCCGCCAGGATGGTCAGTCCCACTACCGGTGGGCAGAGGTCAGGTCAGCTCAGGTCAGGTCACATTAGGTCAGGTCAAGTAGGTCCCCACTTTCAGAATGATCAGCTCCAACACCTAGGGCCACAGCTCGAGTCAGGTGTCAGGCCAGGTCACGAAGGTTCCCACTTCCAGAATGGTCAGCTCCAGCTTCTAGAATCAGAGGTTAGGTCAGGTCACGGAGATTCCTGCCGCCAAACCGGCCGCTCAACCACCTGGGGACACAGGTCAGACCCGATCTCTTCAGTTTAATCAAATTCTGTCCGCCGCTGCTCTGCAATTTCGTCCAGTTCGAACAACATGGGGCGGCGCTCGGCACTGTTTGCCCCGCCTGCTTGAGTGTTCCATCTGCCCTGCGTCAGGCGCAGCGGAGGGGCGTCGTCTGCAGCTGCTCTGGCGATACGGGTCCAGCTCCGTCGCCCCGCGCCGGCATTGATTGGGTCTCGGCTCACGCGTCGATTCGTCTGGAGACGCCGGTAGCCGGCAATCACCACTGGCAGCTGAGCAGGCCGGAGGGCATGCCATCCCAGGGTGGGAGAAAACTCAGCCCGCTGGCGCCTCATGCTGGTAGCAATTCATTAGATGTCTACTTTTATAACATTGTTTTTACACCGAGCCGAGTATCTTTATGAATTTCCCTTTGGTTTCGTTCCAATTTACAGTCTAGCCTTGGGTGCGGACAGAATATTACTTTTGCTAAATATGGTATCCATGCACGTCACAGCAATCAATAGCACCAGAGACTGACGGTGCGAGTGGAGACGCCGCATTGATCTGAGAATGTAGGTCTATCATATTACAGATAGAAAACATATATATCACGAGCACATCTCGGCCTCTCCAATATCTGCGATATTTCTGATCGCCGGAAAGCCACCTGTACGTAATGCGCGGGTCTGCTGTTTAGCCTGCAGTCATAGAGCGACTGAGGAGCTGTCGCCAGGTATACCTAGAGGCTGGGCATGCAGAGTGAGCCTCCATGGAGGCCAACTGACTCAATAGGCCAGCTACCGCATTGGGGCTCACGGCGATAATGTATTTGTGCAGATAATTTTATACATTTTTTTTTCAAAGAATTTGCGTATAAAATATATGCACCCTGATGCAATATCAGATATCTTCAATGAAGGTGCTTGCCGTTCGGTTTCTAAGTCAGCAGCTAATGTGTTAGTGTTAAGGAATCTTCATGTATTTTGATGAAAATATATTTATCTGCCGTTCCTTCGTTCACATAGTGAACAGGTACCTAAATGTCATTAACCCGCGCCCCACTGGGGGGCTATTTATAGCCCCCTCCCGTTTTTCTGCAATAACTTCCAAACCGCTTGACGGATCAACGCCAAACTTTCCGTACCTTCGGCTGCATCAATTTGACACCTTGTGTCAAAATTTGAAGTTCGTAGCTACCATAGGTCGGCCGGAAATGACGTCAGAGTGACGTCATGTTCGCCCGATTTCGACGCAAAACATTGAACCACGGCAATCACTCCCAAGAGCTCAGTTTTTAAGCTAGATCCAATTTCTTTGCATGAAAGGACTCAGAATTGACCGCGCTATCAAACTGCTATCTCGGATTTTCACAATTCGGAAAATTTCGAAAATTTGATATAATAATATTAAAAATTTATATCTTTATATTTTTTCAAAAAGTTTTTGACTTTTCAAAAAAAAACCGGAAAATATAGGTATGACAGAACGCATGATTATGACTAACTCTAGCAAGTTTTAGCCAAATATCTTCAAAAATGGCCAAGTTACAAGCATTATTGCAAAAAATTCACAATTATTAACTTTTCAAATCAATTTTTCAGTGCGTATTTGACATCGTACACCAATATAAATAGCACCATCGTGTTCCTGAGCTCATACTGCATCCAATAGACACCTTTTTTGTTGAAAAATTTTAACTTCAAAATTTGACCTTTTTTGACCTGAAAGTGACCTGACCTAAGCTAAATTCGACTCAAAATGACCTCGAATGACACAGACGACATCAAATTCGAAATCTATGGCCTAAATGGACCATAAAACATATGTCACGTGACCGACGCATGATATAATATTTCCGTGACCTGTGATGACCTGACCCTGACCTGAAAATCAAAGTACAAGTTTGGTACCCTCAAGGTATCTAGAGCATCTGTTCACGAGTGTGGAAACCAAAAATGAGCCTGATCTGACTTGTAAGACGGCGGCCAGAGCCCAAAATGTGAACAAGCCAAAATGCTAATAATTTTTACTTTGACCTGACCTGTGACGTCATCGGTGACCTCGAGGTCAATGAAATTAGGTTTCGCTCGACAGTTTTTCCGGGGCTATCAGACGCCGTTTGAATTTTGACGATCGGCCCAGTAGTGTCGGAGTTAGGAGGGGGGGGGGCTATGAATAGCCCCCCCCCCAGTAGGGCGTGTTATACACAGACCCCAGTGGGGCGCGGTTTAAGGTAGTCAGTCCACTTTCCACAATGATATTGGTATAGCTGAACTTCATGGAGGTCAATTGCAATAAGCCCTTGTCATGGCCGAATAACTGGCAATAAAACGAAGCGTGACACTGGGATAGGTCATTATGATATTATGTAGATCGCAGGGTTTCCCGGGGATTTTAACGATACGTTAAAGGGACCCTCCCACCTTCAAAAAAGTTAATGAATTGGCATGAAAGTGATGTCGCTCGGTTCAGAAAGAGCAAAAATGAATATCTACTAAATTTCATCGAAAAATATTCACCGGTTTTCAAGATATTAGACTTTTACTTTTGTTTACTTTTTGGGATCTCCGCTGTTCCTAGCGACTTTATTTGAAAGTGCGGCATTTGTTGCGCGCAAAGCAGCATATACCACCGCGTGCTGCCAAACGTTTTAGTAAAAGATTAAAAAATCGTTAGATCTCCGCTGACGTCACAAATTCTAAGGGGGCATACCAATGCATTAGCCCCTTAGAATCCGAAAACTGCAAGTTTGAAATTCCATATCTCCGAATTAAAGCATTTTTCGATGTTGTGAATGCCTAAACCGGTATTTTCAGGCCATGGCCACCAATTTGGCTATCTCAACTCAAAACTAATGTTAAGGTGGGAGGGTCCCTTTAACGTATCTTTGCGGACCTATAAGCTAAAATCGATTGTTTGCTTGCTTTCAACTGAACAAAGAACTAAACCACAACACACGATGGCTTTGTCGTAACAGGATGTCGTACCTAATGGCAAGCTTATTATGATGATTTCTTTGGCAATTGAAATTAGCATCTTGATAAATTGGCTGATGTTCTCAAGCGTTCGCGAGCGTAACACTTGTCAAACAAGCATCGGTTCAGGTTACACGACAACGCATGGAATAAGAAAACCAGTCAGTTTTAGAGCTACACTGTCTATTGACAGATCTTGAAACAGAACGACGAAGAAAATATTCGTAATACTGTATCACAAGGTACCATATCATGCATATTCACAATGCAGAGACATGTAAAACGGTGTGTGTTTGGTCGGCAGGCCTCACCTCTGGCGGTATCATCATTGTCGAGGAGACGGTGGACGCCCACCACACCATCAGATAGGAGAACAGCGCGATCCAGATGATGCTGCCCACGAACGCGATAAAGAAGAACCTCCGACCTGTCGGCACGACACACAGGCTGCGGTCACGAACAGTCCCACGAGCCGGGACCGTGATATGTAACGTGACTGTGGGGCTGAAATGGCACCGGGAACGTGACAGGCACTCTGACGCAACTGACGCGGCGTGATGTGACCAGTTTTCCAGCCGACGCCCGTGAGCTGAGTAAGTATCTCGATGTCTAAGCTCTGAGGGATGAGGTAACATCCGTGACAGGATGCTGTTAATGAAGGGACTCTGGAATCTGAAGAAACATGCAGGGCTCATTGTGAAAGCAATCGAGACAATATATGGGTTGTGACTGCTCTTTGAACAAATTCACTCCGATCCAATCATTCCTGAATCTATAGCGGGTTTCAGCTCCACTCGGCAGCTCTGAATTGCTCTCACCGGTCAGTTGAATAAGTGATGCAGCCTGTCAATGACTCGACCAGCAAGGGACCAGTAATGTGAATTATTGTGACCTCTGCAATCACGGATCCAATTGCAGCAGCAGTCGCAACGGGAGATGCTGTGCACACCCACTTGAGCCTGCAGGCACCCGCACGCTGCATTGGGTCCCAATTCCCACCACGTGCACTGTATAATGTTACGTGTAATGTAACGTAAGGTATATGTTGCCATAAGTCTGCCTATAACCCTCCGAGGAATGTTTGTTAATAAACAATAAATATTACCTTCTCCCAGCGGGGGCCGACCCAGTGTTATGATTAGTTGGCTACCGCCCGCTCTCAGTCATGAGAGCCGATGTCCTATGGAGATATCACATAATACATAACATTCATCACATAACATGGAAAGGAGCTTGTAGAAGAACTTTCGAGCGAGAAGCTTTTTTGCGAAACGCAGGTCAGATTATGCGCCGTGACGTTCAGCGTTGCGTTCTGGCACTCTGCTATACAGTTGGCTGACATTGAGGTTGTCTCCATCTCTTTGAAGTGGTCTCTGCAGTCACTTGTGACATCCAACGTCCAGCGATCCAGTGAACCACCATTGACAGTGACCTTGACTGACCTCCAGTGATATTATCATTCAGTGACCTCGACTATCCCTCCGGCAATCTTTGCTGACCTCCAGTGGCCAAAAATATCCTCCAAGAACATTTGTTAAACTCCAGTAGCCTGTAATACTCTCCAGTGACCGTTGCTGACATACAGTGACGTTTGCTGACCTCCAGTGACCTGAACTGACCTCTGGGCGACTTGCAGTCGGGCAGTGTGATCCACAGCGAGAAGACGATGGGCGCCACTAGCACGTAGACGATCCGCTTGCGCGTGGTGTCTGGCCAGCTCAGGTCTATCGGCTTGTGCTCCTCCTCGTCCTCCAGAATAGTCGGCTCCTGTGAGCGGTAGACGGCAGCACAGTCAATTACGATGTTGATCAAGACAGCCCATATTCAGCCCAGATTCAGCCCGGATTCAGCCCAGATTCGGGACACCTCCGATCAAGCTGAAACTCGCACACAATGTAGGCCATGAAATGCCCAATCCACAGTTAAAGTCATTCGGTGGCACTCCCAGCCGTTTGACCTACAGAGGTCAGCAAAGGTCACGTGGCCCAAATTTGCACAGCAGATTGTGGCCCACCCAGTAGAGCTAGAGCGCTAAAAATGGCACCAATCGACTCGCCAGCATCTAATCTTACTTTCCCAACACTCATTTGACCTCTCATGGTCATGCGATGACCTAAGATCATTTGTGGGCTATGTCGAAAATACACTTGCACACCAGTTTTCGAGTAGATGGATTGACCGAATTCCAAATCAAAGCACATCATCGGGTAGCCCATAGGCCGTAGTAACTTTCCCTGAAAACCGCTTTTCGATATGTGACCCCGTTTGACTTCGGCAGGTCAAAATGTGCAAATAAACGACACTCAATACGTCGCAGCCCGGATTCAGCCCAGATTCGGGACACCTCCGATCAAGCTGAAACTCGCACACAATGTAGGCCATGAAATGCCCAATCCACAGTTAAAGTCATTCGGTGGCACTCCCAGCCGTTTGACCTACAGAGGTCAGCAAAGGTCACGTGGCCCAAATTTGCACAGCAGATTGTGGCCCACCCAGTAGAGCTAGAGCGCTAAAAATGGCACCAATCGACTCACCAGCATCTAATCTTACTTTCCCAACACTCATTTGACCTCTCAAGGTCATGCGATGACCTAAGGTCATTTGTGGGCTATGTCGAAAATACACTTGCACAGCAGTTTTCGAGTAGATGGATTAACCGAATTCCAAATCAAAGCACATCATCGGGTAGCCCATAGGCCTTAGGAACTTTCCTTAAAAACCGCTTTTCGATATGTGACCCCGTTTGACCTCGGCAGGTCAAAATGTGCAAATAAACGACACTCAATACGTCGCAGCCCGGATTCAGCCCAGATTCGGGTCACATATCGAAAAGCGGTTTTTAAGGAAAGTTACTACGGCCTATGGGCTGCCCGATGATGTGCTTTGATTTGGAATTCGGTCAATCCATCTACTCGAAAACTGCTGTGCAAGTGTATTTTCGACATAGCCCACAAATGACCTTAGGTCATCGCATGACTCTGAGAGGTCAAATGAGTGTTGGGAAAGTAAGATTAGATGCTGGCGAGTCGATTGGTGCCATTTTTAGCGCTCTAGCTCTACTGGGTGGGCCACAATCTGCTGTGCAAATTTGGGCCACGTGACCTTTGCTGACCTCTGTAGGTCAAACGGCTGGGAGTGCCACCGAATGACTTTAACTGTGGATTGGGCATGTCATGGCCTACATTGTGTGCGAGTTTCAGCTTGATCGGAGGTGTCCCGAATCTGGGCTGAATCCGGGCTGCGACGTATTGAGTGTCGTTTATTTGCACATTTTGACCTGCCGAGGTCAAACGGGGTCACATATCGAAAAGCGGTTTTAAAGGAAAGCTACTACGGCCTATGGGCTACCCGCTGATGTGCTTTGATTTGGAATTCGGTCAATCCATCTACTCGAAAACTGCTGTGCAAGTGTATTTTCGACATAGCTCACAAATGACCTTAGGTCATCGCATGACCTTGAGAGGTCAAATGAGTGTTGGGAAAGTAAGATTGGATGCTTGCGAGTCGATTGGTGCCATTTTTAGCGCTCTAGCTCTACTGGGTGGGCCACAATCTGCTGTGCAAATTTGGGCCACGTGACCTTTGCTGACCTCTGTAGGTCAAACGGCTGGGAGTGCCACCGAATGACTTTAACTGTGGATTGGGCATGTCATGGCCTACATTGTGTGCGAGTTTCAGCTTGATCGGAGGTGTCCCGAATCTGGGCTGAATCCGGGCTGCGACGTATTGAGTGTCGTTTATTTGCACATTTTGACCTGCCGAGGTCAAACGGGGTCACATATCGAAAAGCGGTTTTGAAGGAAAGTTACTACGGCCTATGGGCTACCCGATGATGTGCTTTGATTTGGAATTTGGTCAATCCATCTACTCGAAAACTGCTGTGCAAGTGTATTTTCGACATAGCCCACAAATGACCTTAGGTCATCCCATGACCTTGAGAGGTCAAATGAGTGTTGGGAAAGTAAGATTAGATGCTGGCGAGTCGATTGGTGCCATTTTTAGCGCTCTAGCTCAACTGGGTGGGCCACAATCTGCTGTGCAAATTTGGGCCACGTGGTCTTTGCTGACCTCTGTAGGTCAAACGGCTGGGAGTGCCACCGAATGACTTTAACTGTGGATTGGGCATGTCATGGCCTACATTGTGTGCGAGTTTCAGCTTGATCGGAGGTGTCCCGAATCTGGGCTGAATCCGGGCTGAATCTGGGCTGAATATGGGCTGTCTTGACGGACATTCAATTAAGAGTGCACACTTACAACTACAGATACACAACTACAGGGATGTTCACGAAAAACTGACACATTTTATTTCCGAATTACGAGAAAACACTTGCCCTCAGAACGGTGATCATGCTATGGGCAAATAGAGTGGACTTCTAAGTTTGTATTGACATATTTTGGGATCATGTCATTTTCGTTTCTAAGAAGTTACAGCGTATTTTGCAGATGACGAGTTTTTGGAGCAGTGCACGACTCAGCCCGAAACAGGAAATTATTCCCCGTTTTTGGGCACGTGCCTGGAGAATTGCAACACCTCTCACTGCACTCGTCGGGAGGTTTGATGTCCTTTGGGCCGCTGCTACAGATCATGTCACTCACGTGACCCCACAGGAATAGTCCACGGAGTTGAGGTAGAGCGAAATGGCCGGTTATGGGTGAGAGGTGATGCGCGAGACAAGTGCCCCCTCCCCCCTGTTCTCGTGTGAGACCGATGATCGCCGTTACTGTACGTAGGGTGGCCCTGACGTGCCAGAACCACCAAATGGTGTAGACGTCGACCCATTTCCGCTACAGTAGCTAACAGAAGCTGTTAACCCTCGCCCCGTTGGGGGGGGGGCCATTTTGGCCCCCCCCTGTGGTTTTTCCTGAATAGCAAGAAAACGGCGGCGCGCAGCGCCGCCAAATTTTCAGTACCTTCCCGGGCATCAATTTGACACCTTCACACCAAATTTCAAGTCTTAGGTCACCTTAGGTCAGGAGTTATTGAGGTCAAACTGAGGTCATGTTCGAGCAAAAATGAGCAAAAAACATGCAATCTTGAAACGCTCACCAAATCTACAGTTATCAAGCAATTTCAAAGTTCTTTATATGGTCTAGTAGACAAAAAGCGGCGCTACAAAACTGCTATCTCGGATTTTCAAAATTTTTGGTTTTTGACCAAAAAAAATTCAAAAAATTGATTTTTTTAGAAAAACTTTGAAAAAATCCAAAAATTTTCCGAATTTCGAAAAAACCGGAATATATGTGATAGTCCCAGTGCTCTTCTATATACATACCAAATTTCAGATCGATATCTCGTTTTTTGGCCAAGTTATAGCGAAAAAACTGTTCAAAAATGATGACGTCAAATTTTTGAACTCAATTTTTAGCAATTCTAGACCACGTACGGCAAAACAAAGACCACCATTGAACTCCCCGTGACGAGCTGCATCGATTCGATACCCATTTTATGCAAAAATATTAACTTTGAAATTTGACCTAATTTGACCTGACCTTGACCTGACCTTGACCTGACCTTGACCAAAACGTGATCTAAGCTGGCCCCAAAGGCTGCCTGACCCATATAATCGCATTTGTCATGTAAAATGGACCATAAAACATGTATCACACGACACTTTCATATTGTGACCCCCCGTGACCTGACCTCTGTGACCTGACCTGGTATCAGTGACCTCAAATAGCAAAATATGTGTTTGAAGAACATTTCCCCATCGATGATTTTCAATGAAATGCATTTTACTCGATTTTACAACGCATTTCTTGAAGTGCCTGTAAACGGTGAAAATTGGACCTTTGACCTGACCTGTGACGTCATCGGTTTGACCTAGGTCAATAAAATTGGGTCACAAGGTAGTTCCCCGTTGGGGCTATCCAACGCCGTTTACCGCTTGTCGCTATGTTGCGTGGTTCTCGAGATCTTAGGGGGGGGGGGGCCAAAATGGCCCCCCCCCCCCCCAACCGGGCGCGTTGCTCGGCAGAGCCCAACGGGGCGCGGGTTAAAAGATGGCACGGTACCACTCTACAGTGACTGCCAGCATGCGGCCATGGTTTCTGACATCAGCACTTCCAAGCCTGCCAATTTTGGCATTCCTTAGGAATTTGCCCACAATATGCCAATAGTATAAAACATAATCCATCGAAACATTAATATGTCAAATTTTAGACGAATTCGTAGACTGGTTCAGTCGTGGTGGCAGATGGCAGCCGCGAGAGCTTCATTGTTTTTCCGTTAAGTTTTGTCGCCAAGTCAAATTTCCCATTTTAACGCTTTCTTATTTATTTGGAAGCTCATGTGATGCTAACTAAAGGAGCTATGCAGATACAAAACTTTTTTCAACAGGCTTTCGAATGGCATGCAAGTCAAGTCTCCGTGAGCTCTCACATGCTCACAAAGTCGTTTTAAAATGTGTCAGTTTTTCGTGAACATCCCTGTACATACCTCGTAGATATAAACATAAATACATTAAAGGAAAAACAAAGTGAGGGATGGAGATAGAAGGAGACCGTGACGTTAAAAACACACATAAGTATACATACAATCACATAATTCACATAAACACACAGGTGATCAGATGTGGAAACTGGACAGCCTTAGCAACCGCCTGGCGCAGAGTCGACCACGGTCGTATCCCGGGAAAGACCGGAGCTGCGGTCCAATTCTGGAGTTCTGCAGAGCCGGGATATATGAATTCGCAGAAACTCCCCTGGTGGTGCGGGAGAGCGACTGATACCTAGGTTTAGCCAGGCGTGACATCGCCCTGGAGCAGCCGTTTCAAGAGAAAAAAAAAACATAATACAGGGTGTCCCGAAATTGATTGCGTCTTCATCCCATCGCATTCATAATAAAACAAAAAATGATCGATACTTGGTTTATTTATCGATGCATCCTCCCCTTAGTCGAATGCTCTCTCTCATGGACTCAGGCATCCCGCACACCATATTGTCCAGCGTCTCGGCGCTGATAACACGGTAAAACTCTTGCCTGAGATGTCAGAAGCGATTTTTCAGCAAGACAGCGCGCCAGCGCACAACGCGGCCAAGACTCAGCAGTGGTGCCGCGACAACCTCCAAGTGTTCTGGGAGAAGGGCTTATGGCTCAGCAACAGCCCTGACTGGTCTCCCATTGAAAATCTCTGGGCTATCGTGCAGGGCGAGCTGGACAAGGAGAGCCGCCCACCTCCGAGAAGGCGCTGGTCAGCAATCTGCAGAACGCTTGGCGTCAGATCAGCGCCGAGACGCTGGACAATCTGGTGTGCGGGATGCCTGAGCGCATGAGGGAGTGCAGTCAACTAAGGGGAGGATGCACCGGTAAATAAACCAAGTACCTACACAACATTTTTTGTTTTATTATGAATGAGATGGGATGAAGGCGCAATCAATTTCGGGACACCCTGTAGATGGAAGCAGGTAAGCTGATACCTAAAAGATCGTCAAACGAAGAAACGGACACATTTCTAGGTTGCATAGAAAGCAGCTTCAATCGCAAAACGTGAACAAATTATATAAGTTAACAATACCTACGATTTTACACACAAAAAATGTAACGTATTTGTTCATTCTAACTATTGAACCGGCATCACAATATACTTCCGCCTCCCATTTCGGTAAACAAATTTCAACCAATAGGTATATTCTGGCGTAAGCTCACATTTTATAAGGCACACTACCCTTGCATTGCTCTACGGATGCATAGATCTTCCTCAGTGCACTGGACGTGATGCCTAGTCCCTTCACTGCTGTGGGTTTCATTTCGCAGTGGCCGCCGGGATTTCGCAGTGCGATGTGGCAGCGCGCGGCGCTCGCTAAAAGCGTATCCATTATCTCGGTGTGATGGCCGGCGGACCGGATGTCACGGCCGGCGCCGTGCGTGACGCCGCTCGGTCACGCTCGCCAGGTCACGCCCCGGGACTATCGATCTGACCTCAGAGGTCACACGAGGTCACATCGTGTCAGGGGCGATCGGGTGAGGGCGAAAGAGCTCCAAATTTCCGCCTGCGGCCAGCGGCAGATAAATATAGGCGGATGGGTAAAAAGAAGGTCTGCGATACAATTGTAGGTACACGTAATGTCACCGAAGCCGGTTTGACGTATCAATCATATTAAGGAAATCCTAAGATATGTTATATTATCATTTACCTCTGCTTATATTTAGGTAGGTATGCAGTTAGATATCAAGGGAGCAGCTAACCGGATGGGCGGAGTCAGATGCCCGCGGAGAGGACAACTGAGCAGCTAAAACCGACCGGAGGGCGATCGGGGCGGGGTCTGGGGGCCGACGAGGGGGCGGAGTGAAGGACAGGGAAGCCAACCGAGTGCCGAATGGGGTCATAGGGCGAAGAACGGGGACTTCCGTCGCCGGCCCCGGGCGGTGCCCGCGGGCAGGCAGGAGGGAGGGAGGGAGGGAGGGGCCAGCCCCGGGGCACGGAGGGTCTGCGGTCGGAAGGAGGCACCCAGCGCGTCCCAGGACCGGCTCAGAAGGGTGACTGATTACCTCAGAGCCGGTCTAACCACGCTGCGACCATGGCGCCGCTATGGGCTCAGGTGCTCACCATAACGCTGTGTCTCACACAAGCCTCCGGACACGGCAAAGGTAGGTAAATAAGCATCATATTAGTTCTTGCTTCTATCAAAGAGCGATAGCTCTTCAGAATGCACATGCACACTTTTATTGGGAGATAAGCAGAAATCCAAAGTGTTAAAATCTCACTGTTCAATTATCTGCACATAATGAGTGTGATCTCAAAAGCAATCATAGCCTCTACGTCGCCAGTTCGATTGAGAGCTATGCATGCACATTGCACAAGTCATCCAATTTTCTATAAATATTTTTTTTTTTTTAGCAAAGGCCAGTGACAAGCATATTTACCTCCGTCTTCGACAGTGTATCAAGCCTGGTTGGCCGATGACGGCGGCAAGTCGCTGCTGGTGGTCGACGCCGCTCCCAAACACCTGCTGGACAGCACCATCTTCAGTCGACTGCTGGGTCTGCGCGACACCAGCATCGGCGACGGGGTGACCGACACGCAGGTCACAGACCCGTCGACCGAGGTAATGGCCGCACCGGCGGGGGTCACAGATGCCGGCGGAGACTCCGAAGGCGGCGCCTCCGGGGGCGGGGTCCAGGTGACGGAGATGTCGCACCAAGAGGCGGTGTACCCGGCAGCGACAGGCGGCGCGGCCGGACCAGAGATGGTGCGTCCGCAGCAGCCTCGCCAGCCCGACAGCCGACTGGCCATGCTCACACTCTGGAAACAGATGTTGGTGGACGCCTTTGTGGCCAAGCTGGACCGTTTCACCGGCGACAGGGCGCACGAAAAGAATCACACCACGCCGGTTCCAGTGGCAGCAGAGGCACCAAAGACAGCAGAGGAGGCACCAGAGCCGACAGCGACAGTGGCAGTGGAGTCCGCTGTTACGACGACAGTAGCGCCCACAGTGGCGGTAGAGACGGTATCTATAACGGTACCAGCCTCAGCATCATCTGCATCACTAGCGTTAGTGTCAGCTCTAACTTCGGCACCAGCACCGGCAACGGCATCGACATTGCCACCTTCTGCACCAGCAAAGGAAACATCATCGACACCAGAGTATGTCGCAGCAATGACATCAGAGCCTTCTCCATCTTCAGCATCGCAAACGACGATGTCAGAGGAAGCAGTAGTGACAGAAGAGCCGGCGACAAAATCCCCAGCACAGACAAAGCCAGTGGCAGAAGAAATGGCAGAGCACTCGCCAGTAGTTGTTATTCCAGCACAGTCTCCAGATTCTGCCAGCTACATCAGTTCTCCAGTGGCTGCCGAGCCAGCGGAGACTGATATTTCCAGCTCGGAGTCTAGCGATGGCACTGCTGCTGACACCTCCGACAGCACCGTTAAACCTAATGCTGGAGACCAGAGCTCAAGTGAAGAGACTGAGACAACGCAGGGAGATTCCGGAGAGATGGGAGACATGCAGGAGACCGCAGTTCCGCCAGAAGACAAGGGCCAGAATGCCGATGGACCTTCCGGCCACAACAATCACGGACAGAGCATGGAAGGAGGGACAGACCAGGAACAGTCGACCACGCCTCCGGAACCTGCATCCTATGTCAGTGCAGACACGACGACCGAACAACAGCCGGTAAACGAGTACGAGAAGGCTGTGGCCCAGTGGGAGGAGGCCTCTATCGATGACAATGATCAAATGCTGGAGGAACTCCTCGAGTCGTTCGCAGTAATCACTGGGCAAGGGTTCGCCGAAACGACGCCTGAGGACGGCTCGACTGACGAGATGTCCGGGTCGGGTCACTCGCCAGCCGAGTTACACTCTGGTCTCTCAGAGTCGACTGAGCGTGAACACGACGTCGGGACCACCAACTCGGCAGATGACTCAGAGCTAGACGAAATCGAGCATACGAAGGCCTTTGAATTTGAATCAACCGATGCTTCAAGTGGAATTGAATCGTCAGATGGCAGCTCCAGCATCCCCGAACAGATTGAACACTCAGGACACGACACTCCGAATGATACTGATAAAGCCAACGCCAACACCGTCATGCTAGAGAGCTTGATCGCCGCCTTGAACGCTACAGAAGACGCAGACAGTTTGACGAGCGACAGCCAAGAACACACGTCGGGCACCACTCACGAAGAAACTGCCCAGAAGGAGACGTATCTTCCGGCCGGAGACCCATACGTTCACAGTACCGACGATCCTGAGGACATGTACCCACCAGCCTACGGCAGCCAGGGGACAGATGAGGCGGTCACATACACCGATGAGCCGCTGTTCCCCATGCGGTACCCGGACCGGCGGCCATCTCCTCGGAGCGAGGTGCGTGCCGAGCTGCCGGCCGGCGTCGTGTCTGTCGGCGACCAGCAGGAGATCGCCTTCACACCGAGTGCTGAGTCGCGGAGGACGTCCGTCCAGTTCAAACCGACGGCGGTCATAGACGGCGGCCACTTTGACCCGGAGGAGTACGGCCTGCTGGACGGGCCGCCGGCGGGCTCGGCGCCCCGGCAGCGCTCCGTGCCGCGGCTGCGCGACTCTCTCTCCGCCGTGGTGGAGGCGGCAGAGGCCGGCATGCTGCTGGTGCAGCCCGACTGGCGCGGACCCGGCATCATGGCCGTCCCCATGCACCGGCGCCCGCCCGCAGAGATGGTCTGCTACCTGATGGTGAAGCAGGGCGCCTGCCGCTGCACCCACACCAGGTGCGCCGCCTTCCGCAAGTACATGGAGTACAAGTGCCCCGAGACGTGCGAGAAAGGTGAGTCATGGTGCTTGGCGGGATGGGAAAGTGTTGTTATCGTGGAGGAAGGAGGCGAGTGTGCAGCGAAAGTGAGTCATTAAATTATTCTGAAAGTCCTGTGGAGGGTGGTTGGAATGAAGGTTGTTCTCAGGATTTGTGACGATTTTGGATAGCAGAGGTCGTGCTAAAAGTCATCGCTTCCTCTAATGCTTATCTTCTTCTCGATTGATCAGCTAAATAATTATCGTGCATATATTCCAGGAATAGTTAGTCAGAGGTGCTGGATTCTGCGGACTTTAAGATAATTAGTTGTTTAATTGCATATTTGGTTCCGCTCATTTGGGAAAGGTCGGTGCAATTATAACCATGTGAAGGAGCCAGAAATTGAGTTTTAATAACGCCATAAGAAGTAAATAATTATTGAGTCTGGCAACCGTTTCCTCGTAGCATACCTGAGGAACCTATCAATTAGCGATTTCCTCCAAATGTTGTGACGTAGCAAACACTACTATCTATAGCGTGGTCGGGATGTAAAGCCTGTCAAACTCCGAATGATTTATGTGGTGATGGAGTGCGACAATTCATGGTCGTTCCAGGTAACTTACTGTTTCTCTCCCGACCGGCGACCCTACTCAGTATGAAGATAGCCTCTGCTCTGCCTTGTATGACCGGTCCTCTGTGCCCTGTCTTTCAGTGCCCGTGGCCCCGGAGCCGGCGGGGGTGTCTCGCGGTGTCCGCACCCGCCTCCTGTCGTCAGTGCGACTGCCCGAGCGGCCGCTGGGCATCCTCAGCAAGTGTCGAGGCACCGCGCTACTAATGCCGCGCTGCCGCGCCACCCAGACGTATGTGGCGCACCCCATCTTCTGCGAGTGCTACCGGGTGTGCAGTGGCGAGTTCGCCGGCCTGACGGCCTGTCCCAGCGGAGAGCACTTCAGCACGCAGGAGGCCGAGACCCGCGTCTGCGTGCCCTTCGAGGAGAGCACGTGCCGCACCTGGTCCCGCTTGGTGACCAAACCGTGACCTCCGGGATTGTGACCTCAGGGATCGCGACTTCAAGGGTCGTGACCTCAGGGACCGCGACATCAGGGCCGTAGGTGCAGGGCCATGAACTTCGCGACTGTGACGTCGTGCAGAGAGGTAGCGATGGGAAGCACGAACCGTCAACATCTGGTGCGATCGTGTCGGGTCACGCACGTGACCAGTCCGAGTACGCACGTGACCAGTCCGAGCTGGATTAGCGTTTTGAGAGGGGCTAAGAGGTTTCCCAGGGGCTTTCATCGGTTATAGGAGTGTCGACAAGCTGCAAAGGTAGGTAGGTGGTCAATGCCGTCAAACCGCCGAACTATGGCATCTGAGCTATGGACTAGAACTGGAGCCGACATACGAGCGCGGACACGGTAGGCTTGCCAGGACTAAAGCGTCTAGGTTGGCATACCGGAGGACAACATGATTTTCGGCGCTGAATTCTTCTTCAATGTCAGTCTCATTTTCCATACTCACTTCAGGCTCTGGCCACTGCAGCGCACAGTTCGGCCGTTTCCCTCATCGATTGTGACATTCGAGGGCTCAAATATCGGCACTGCTGTCACATCCAAGTGGCGCCCACCTCGTACCAATTTGTCCTAATGTAGGTATTTGTGAGCAGTCCACTACCAGGAATATTGACGCTTTGTGACGCCAAATAGCGTAGACAAGTTTGTTGTTACCGTGTTTTCATATTTGAATGATCACCATGTCCATTGCAGTCTCTTTCGAAGACACTTTGTAATGATGAGTACTGTGTGCCTGTCAATGGTTATACAAATACACCAATGTTGACGGCGAAAACTCGTCTTGCTGCAGTACGATATAAATGTGGTGTTTGACCTGACTGGCTAAAGTAGCAATGGAATTATTATTGCATCAAAAGAACGAGGAGGACCGCCATCGCTTCTGTACCACCTCCACTGATAGCCACGCAACGCATGCTGGCAACGATTTCTATCACAGAAAAGTCGTGCCGAATCCAGTTTCTGACTATTCCTCCACCCCAATCTCGTCGGTTCTTGTCCTTGACATGGCGCATCTGGGGCCTCAATGTCCTGTCCTATACCGATCCTTCTTGTCACGCCCTTGGCAGCCCTGTCCCATGGGTCTCTGTCCCATTTCTGTGCCGCCAGTCAAGGGGCGGACCTGCCGGCGAGCCAGTGCGGTGAGCGGTTTGCGCGTCCACTGTTTGTCTGATGTCAACAGAAAGCCATCAGCGTCGAGTGGCCAGTGTCCACTGCCGTCCGACCGGGCATCGCCCACCGCATCCGCCACCGCACGACCACCGGACCTCCGTTCACTGACACATCGCCTGTTACTATTGTATACTATAGTACGTTCACTATCACATCGCCCACTGACAAATACCGACCATCGCTCACCGTACGACCGAGCATCGCCTATCGACTGGCCATCGCCCACCACCAGTGATAGACCTACGACCAACTGACAGTCGACAGACCATTGTCCACCGCCTTCGACCAGCCGACCACCACTACTGAAAGACCTTCGACCAACTGACAGACCATTTCCCACCGCCTTCGACCAGCCGACCATCGCCCATCGCCACTAGAAGACAATCGCCCACTACCACGGACCATCAACCACCGCCTTCGACCAACCTATTTTAATACACAGTGGACCAGCCGACCCACCATCGCTAATATACCGACCACCAACTATCAACTATCGCCTCCGTTGCCATCGTCCAACAGCCGCCCACTGTTGCATGGAAGTCGGCCACCCCACTCACCAGCGTCTGGATTGACCTAAGGAATAATTAAGTTTCAGGCGGTAAAAGCCACGATTCAAATGCATATGTACTGACGACATTTCTGTGAAAGCACTATAACCCGAATAACTTAGAAAAGGTAAGCCCGCTGAGGCTCATAAAACGGCTCCTAAAAACTTCCATAGAAAAACAATCATTTTTTTAAGAACATTGATGTCTCAGTGACGTCACCCGGCGGCCGGCCGTCCTCTGCTTACCACTTCAACACGTTAGCTGATAGTTATAACCGAAAATTTTGAGCTTCATGCGGCGTGTCCTCAACATAAAGATAATACGAGGAATACAGAATAGCGCGACCCGCACCTCTCGGCTTCCGGCCGGTGACTCTGCTCGGCCGCGTCTCGACCACCGGCCGGCCGCCGGCGCCCCGTCACCGCCCCTGTGGGCAGACTGTACCGCAGGGCACCGGTTGCCGCCCCTGAGGGCAGACTGTCCCGCCGGGCGCGTACCGGGCGGCACCGGGCCGCGGTCCACACACGACAGTCGCGCTGAGCATTGATGAGATTAAAAACAGAGAAGAGGGGAGAGAAAGAAGAGTGAGGGAGGGGAAAGGAGAGAGGAAGAGGGAGGGAGGGAGAGAGAGAGAGAGAGAGAGAGGGAGGATTTTTTTTTAAATATAGTTTCGTGACAATTTTGGACAACGAATTATGCCTTTATAATCTATACCTACAGCATACCGCCCATGCCTCCAGGCCCAGGTTGTGAAGAAGGTAAGTAAGAACTTACAAACTGCTAACTTTGTGAGGAGACGGATGTAAGTATGTATAAGCGTTATGTAAAGGAAAGATCGTTTATAAAACGCTGCCATTTGTTTGCAGCTTGCATACCATTACATGTACAGCTTCACGCTGCTAGGTTTCTTTATTGATGTTCGCATTGATGTGAAATATGAGACGGTCGCTCTCAGCAGCTCATATCTATTTCAACACCATCGATTTCTGTTCAAGGGCGGATCGCTCAGTGGAAGTCAAACATTCCAAATCTACTCATCGGGCGACCGGATGGTCCAGTTCTGACACATTCCGCAATTCATTCCACTCGGCTCCGCTGGAGGCCACTCTCGCATATCATCGCCCACTCGACTGTAAGGCGCTCCACGCTGCAGTGTAAGCGCGGATCATCCCTCCGCCCGGCTGAAGCCCCGGGCGCTCAGAGTCGGGCCGGGGAGGGCGGGACAGTCGATACGACACATGGTGCGTGACACCGCCTGCGGCCGGTCGTCGCGGCGACTTCAGCCGCTCCGCACGCCAGCCGTGTGTCCGCAAATGAGGCCCTCCACGGACCTCGGCTCAGGTTCGGCGGTAACGAGCGGCACCCGAGTCGAGCACACTCACTGCAGCGGGGTCACACCAGCACGGCGGGGTCGGCACCGGGCCCAGGGAGGCTTCACCAGTACCGAGAAGTTGTACAACCGCAGTGAATCGTGAAGCGTCCGGGGTGACCTAACGTTGTAGGCACGAATATGAGGAACTCCCAATCTGCCTCCATTGAAAAAGTTTTCAACAGCACTCGTGCCACACAGTCAAGACCGTGTCCATCTTCGATCCATGTGGTGTATATGCATTGCATGTGCCTGCTCCTGCCAATATCGCTCTTAATCCCACGTTCCATTCGCGCGATCGCCTCCTCATGCCATTCCCAGTTTCGGCCCGGTGCGTGCATTCAGCTGTCGTGGTGGCCGATGATTGATGTCTCGGCCCCTGCCCACCAGAGCGCACAGCGGACGTCTTATCGCCATCCACTGCCGACTGACATCAGCCGGAGCACCGTCGCCCGCTCGCCGGCTGTGGATCACCAAGTTACTGAGCTGGCGCGTCGACATCGGGACATCGGAAATCCATATGGTTGCGTCGTCGCATGTCAGCCGTTCAAAGGCGGTTGGTAACCACGGTAGGGTAGGTTGGATGAGGAGGGGAGGTTCGAGGTCGGTTCGTCGATATAAAGGCTGTGGTCAGGTCATGTAACACTGGATCAGGACTATAACTACATAGATTGGGTCGTGTTCAGTGGTGAGGCTCGCAAATCGGTAGGGATGAAGAGCTGGTTTTGCTATCTTGGAGCTTGGGATCAGGATCGAGGTCAGGGCTGGCCCAGCTCGCATAATTTTCTCATGTCGTCTGCTGGAGGGTGGAGACGTCGACCACTTATATGCTGAGAACTGATGGCTGATGCAAGACTTGTAGCTGGAGCCTGTTAGGCCTTCCTAAAAATACCTAGAACAGAGGAGCTTTGAATTGTTTCGTAGGATTTTGACTAATTAAGTTGCATCCATCGATCAATGTCGAGCGCCGAAGCATGACTCCTGCTTCGCTCTTCCATTGGCTTCATCCATATCGTGTCTCCGCGGCGAGCTCATCGCTTGTCCACCATCAGCACCCGAGCTGCGATGAGTCTAACGACCGTTAGCCTGCCGTGAGCACCCCGAATGTCACCGTGACGGCCGTGAGTCTGCAGTCTGGTGGCGTCCTACCGTGAGCCCCCGTGAACTTGCAGTCAGACAATGTCCCTCCGTGAGTCTGTCGTGAGTCTGAGTCTGCAGTCAGAGGGTGTCCCCACAGTAAGCCGGTGTCAGTCGGTGTCCCGTCATGAGTCCCCGTGAGTCTGTCGTGAGTCGCACGGTGAGTCTGCAGTCGGACAGCGTCCCGCCGTGAGTCGCACGGTGAGTCTGCAGCCAGCCAGACAGAGCCCCGCCGTGAGTCGCACGGTGAGTCTGCAGTCAGACAGCGTCCCGCCGTCTGTCCCGGCGTAATCTACGGGCCAATTTACAGCCGCCGTAACCCGGCCTCTGTCCGCCGGAGGAGGCGGCGCTCTGACCCCGGCCACGGTCGACATTGGACGGCCCCGGCTTCCCGAGGGCCAGCTCCGGTCCAGGACCGTCCACAGCGGTCGATGCTCAATCTGGTGTAGGGCCGGCCGCCCGCCCGACCCTGCCGGGCCCGACTGGGTGACCGACACTGGCTCAGGAGGGGTTGTGTCTGCTGAGCAGGCCCACTGGGACTATATGACCAGTGACCACTGACCGAGCTCGCAGCGCCCTCAAACAATGAATTGGAAAGACCATGCCCATTGGAAGGCACTGGCTCAGTGGAAGTCCTGAGTCCAGAAGTCCTGAGGAACAGACGCCTGAGTTTCGGTCACGGACATTGCACGTGACCACTTTGACATTGTTCCTGGTCTCTGGAAACCTGTCCCAGTTTCGGGTAGCTGCAGGACATGCATATTTCCTTATCGGCAGCCAGTCAAACAGTCAGCGAAAGGGACATGTCCACTGGGTCGAGACTGGTCGAGTCGAGAATTCGGACAGAAGCAGAGCCTACTTTCGGTTGGGGCGCGCTGAAGCACCCAGGTCAC